GGGGGCGGAACATGTAGGGGCGGGTGACATCATGAACACATTCACATATTTGAAGGATCAAGGGTCCCTCTGGAGGGGAGACTTGGAGATTTCAGCAAAATTTGAGGTTGGGCAAACTGGAGGTTTGGAAATAGTAATGGAGTTGATTTTTCCACGAGGGAGGGAAGGGGAGTGGGAGGTGACCCTGGAGGAGCTGAAGGTGTGGTGCGGCCGGCTGATGTATGAGAATCCATAATAGGGGGCAAGCTTCCCTTTGAACGGAAGGAATCAGAGATTCAGGGTTTGTTTTACGCGGCGAGGGGGGCGAGGGGAGGGGTGGGGGTTGAGGAGGTGCAGGTGGGGGGCTGGTGCATAATGAGGAGGGGTTGGCGTCACAGATCGAAAAGACCGGGGTTGAATACCGGCAGGCTGGTTGCAGTAGGTTGAGGCTGGAAGATTGCAGCAAAGAGCTGCGGGCGACCTGCTCTGAGACAGAGGATTTGCAGCTGGGGCATTCATGTGTGCGGGCTGGGGTTTCTGGGGGGGAGATTTGAGATGGCAGGCTGGTGGGTGACGTCGGAAGGTGAGCAAAGTCATGCCCAACCCGACACTCACTATGACACACACGCCCTAACACCCACTCTTGACCCCCCACCAAACACGCCCTCGGACACCCACCCAACACGCCCGCAAACAAGCTCCGACCCCCCATGCCACCCCAGGCACACACACACACACATCACACATCACAGCCCACTCCACCCCGAACCCCCAGGACCACATCCAGGAGGAGAACCGGCGCCTGGAGGAGGACGGCCAGTTCTGGGCCAAGGAGATTGTTGTGCGCATTGAGTACAAGTTCTGCCCAAACCTCACCATCATCGACACGCCGGGTGGGTGCCGGGGGGCCGGGGGTGGCAAGTGTCTCCTGTTTGGCTGGCGTTGCAGGCGGTGGTGGTGCGCAGAGACGGGGTGCCGGTCGGTTGGGAGCGGTCTTGCTCGCCGGGGCGACGCTGCCCACCTTGTTTGCGTCGAGTGTGTGCTTGTGTATGTGTGCGCACGCGCGTGTGTGTGTGTGGGTGTGGTTGTGTTTGTGGCATGTTCTAGATCGGGACAGCCGAGACAGCAGTCCAGGGCCCACGCGCCAGCGTGTGGCTTGTCTCTGCCGCCTTTGGTTGCTGGCAGCAGCGTGGCATCCCGCCCAGCAGCGCGCACCTGCGGGCCCCAAGGGTGCTCTTGCACCAGGAGCGGCGCCGCCATGCGATTAAATACGAACCTCGATCGCGCCCGTATGCGTTGGCGTTGTCGGCAGGCCTGATCTCCCCGGCGCCAGGGAAGAAGAACGCGCTGCTGCAGACGGCGTCGAAGCAGGTCGAGGCGATGGTGCTGTCAAAGATGGCGCAGAGGGAGGTGAGGGGCCAGTACGCGAGTTGGTGATCTGTGTATTTCCCAAGTGTGTGTGTGTGTGTGTGTGTGAGCCAGCTCATCAACGGTGCCGTCAGCTGTGAACAAGCGCAGCCAAGCGGGGTCGCAGCGGGCGAGCTGCTCGCCTGTACCATGCCGGCTGCCGCAATGCGCACGAGCCCCAAGGGCCCTCCGGCTCCCGAGGCCATGCAGGCCTGGGTCGGATAAACTCATGCAGCAGAGGCTGCCAAGCCTGTGCTGTCGTACCCCGGCAAGCCGGGGCCCTGCTCTCACGTCAAGCCCTCGATCGCCAGGCAGACCCGCAACGATCCCACCCACGGCCACAAACGTCACCCCCTGAAATCTCTTCCGACCTTCCCCTAAGTCATTGACCCTCACACCTCCCCGGCCACCCTTGTCAACCGGCAGTATATCATCCTTTGCCTCGAGGACACCAGCGACTGGAATAATGCGACCACGCGCAGGACCGTCATGCAGGTGGGCGGCCGGTCGGCGGGGAGGGGCCCACGGAGCGATGAGGGGCGGCCTGCCGCCAGGAGGGGCTGAAGCCGCAGTACAGGAGTTGCAGCCGCCCCGCCCCGAGGGGCCGTTGAGGCAGGGGCGCAAGTGGTCCCAGAATCGCCTCCGCACGGCCGCTGGGGCCGCGGCCCCGGTCCGGCCGCCGCGCAGAGGACGCGCAGGCAGCGCGGGGCGAGCGCCTGCGCCCGCGGCCGCGCGCGTCGCGCAGCTCGCTGGCCCTTGAGTGGCTGAACCGCCACCCGCCCGCCCATCCGCCCCATGCGCGCC